CACGAACCTGCGTCCCCTGCATCGGCAGGCGGACTCTCAACCACTGTGCCACCAGGGAAGACCTAGGACTTTCTTGATTCTTGTTTTCGAATGGAAACAAAATTTATTTAGGAGGTGAAAAGAGATTATGTGCATTGTCCTTATACAAGGGTTGTATAAAGTTGATTACTTAACTGTACACTATGTGATGCTTACATGCATTTTCCATGATAAAATACTGGCCACAAATTTATATCCATAAATTACTTACCTGCGTCTCTGCTATCATATTTTCATCGGGTTTTAGGTGGACAGTGAAGGCCTCTCTCATCTCTCTTACCCCATCGAATATTACTTCAATTTCAACAATGTGCTGGATTTCTCCCTCCTTAAACTCAATTTCTACAAATGCAAAATCACAGGTTTAAATCTTTTACACAGGAATATGTGAAGTTTTTCTTAAGCTTCTTTGACAGTGATCCACAATGAGAAATATATTTCATATTGTGGCCCAGTATACTTACGTGTATATGTTTGTGTGCACATGTGAGTGTGGATAAAATGGAATAAAAAGTTTTAAAAACATCACCTATTCTTACAATATGCATTGCACTCTAATATTTTCTATTCTATTCCATTTTATCCAGAAGAAAATTCTAATCATAAACTACTAAATTGACTTTTGGACCCACAGTTTGAAAAAAATGCAGAGTTATGGAATAGACAATCAACAATTCTGATATTGGCACAATCAGACAAACTCACCTCTCATTTCCCAGCATTTCTAAACCAATAGGACATAAGTCAAATATACGATCACAGGCATTATTGAGTGTGAATAGTATTTTCATTATGTATATATCTAGAAAAGCTGGACATAAAATTGTTGAAATTTTTAATATCATGTCAAATTATATTTTAAAAAGACTTCTTTTGGTTGTTGATGTTAATCTTGGAAATTCAGCAATTTTTTTTAAGAAAAATGTTAATGGTGTTTTTTCTCTCACCCTGTCGCTACTCACTAAAAATAATTCCTTCACTGTCATGAAAATTAAACCCAATAATGGTAATACGTTTTTAACCATTCATTCTGAGATTATTAAAATGTTAAAAAATTAATTGATTTTATTGACTCAAGAATAAGCAGCTGACCAAACTTGGATAAACAATTTTGTTGGCTTTACAATGCCTTGTGAAAAAATGGTTCAGAGGAGAAAATAAAGAATATAACGCATAATCATTCTAATCAGAGATGATAACAGACGCTGCTTTCTCATGTAACGGCGGTATTCAATCATTATAATTCTAAATTAAGAAATCCTTTAAAATGTGGCAGAAGAAAATGTGTCTCCAACGTATTTTTCTTTTCCTACTTCCATCAATTATGAAAAGGATCTTTTTCTTTAAAATTGTGTTTGTAAGCCAGACTCATCTTTAAAATCAGTTCTGTTTCTGGGTACAGCCATTTTCCACACTGGCCTTAGCCAGTTCTGTGATACCATTAGCCTTAGGTTTCTCATACCCCAAGAGGGCGTACGGTCCTCGTTCCAGAGGATGAAAATAGCTGATCACTTCTGGGTCACCAATTTGTTTGATTTGACCTGTGTGAAGGTGCAATGAAAATTTATTTTCTAACCCTTCAACATCTGGGGATTTCATAGAAAAATACAGATTTTTAGATCTTTTGCACTTTTCTGCCTGGCAACAGTCATCTGGCTATGATAGTACAGGTCTTTCTCAGCACGGAATGGACTTTCTGGTTGAAGAACATTTCCATCACTCCATCTTTCTCTCACACTTTCCTTGCTTCCCTCATTTTCATTGCTTGGCTTGGCCTTGTAAACATTTGAGTTTTGTAACCCTCTGAATTATATAAACCTAGTTTCTGAGAAGTTGAAAACTTAAGTATTTATTTTAAATGCTTAAATTAATTGTTTTCTTACAGTATACATGCTAGGTGATGGTTGTTTCCTCAGCCACTTTAGACATTAAAAAAAATAATAAATTTATTTATTTATTTTTTGGCTGTGTTGGGTCTTCGTTGCTGCGGGCGGGCTTTCTCTAGTTGCGGCGAGCAGTGGCTTCTCTTGTTGCAGAGCATGGGCTCTAGGTGCATGGGCTCAGTAGTTGTGGCTCACAGGCTCTAGAGCGCAGCCTCAGTAGTTGTGGCGCACGTACTTAGTTGCTCGGCAGCACGTGGGATCTTCCTGGACCAGGGTTCGAACCCGTGTCCCCTGCATTGGCAGGCGTATTCTTAACTCCTGCACCACCAGGGAAGCCCCTAGACATTTTTAACCCCAAAATATTTCAACGTTTATTCTATATTCAAGTTTTTGTTCATTGTAAATGACTACCTCAATTTGGACCATAAAAGGAGAAATTAAAATATATTTCAGGAAAGATTATTAAATTTTTATTATAAATATTCATAAACACGTGTTGACATTTATAGGATAAAAGAGACACAGGTTGAGTTACTGTTATTTAAGTATTCTCTGATTTCATTTGTCAATTTACTATATACATATAATTTTGTTTCTGTCTTAGCAAAAAGAATTGTTTTCTTTATAAGAAAAGCATCTTCTGTTAAAGGTCATGTCATCCACATTTAGAAGGCATTTCCTTCATGTAAAACATGCTCATTTTAGAAATACTTATTTTAGATTTTATAATTCAGCAGCTGATCAGTTTTTCCCTCTCTTTTTGGGTTTTATGCATATATTTCCAATATATTATGATTCTTTACATAGAAAATAATATGAGGATAACTTTGAAGCTCTATAGTTCATCAAACTTTTACCATATGTGCAAAGAAAATAAATGTTCCTTTGTAGAAGATGCTAGTTTTTCCAACTGTTTCATTAATTCTATTACTGATTCTGTCACTTCCTAAACTTTGTTCTCAAGTGAGCAGATCAAGATGAATGCCTGTAGTCTACGATCATCAAAAACTGCTGGCAGTCTCTAGTTCGCCAGTAAACAATCCACAGGGAGAGAGAAGAAGTGACTTGTTTTATACTCGTAAAAGTAATGGGTGAAATGATCCGAAAGTTTGAAGATCCTAAGGCCCAGAGCATTCACGGTCCCTGTGGTTGGTAATCTGTCCCCCTTTTACTGTCCTCCATTAACACTAAACTTGCTAGCTTGAAGTTTTGGATTGTTGTTGTTCTACGACTATCTTCTTGGCTATCGTGCACATTTTCAATGCAATAGAATATTCAGGAAAATTGTTATTTAATATCGGATTGCCATAATGCAGGTAAAACCCACTGAAAATTAAAGGACTGTAGACTCAAAACAGAAGATCATCTAGCACACTAACTCAAAGTTTCCCTAACACATGTACCCAGCAGTCAAAAAGGGAAACTCTGGGAATAAATTCCATTGGCTTTGTTTTCCTGAAGATTAATTTAAAGGAGTACATGTATTTGTATTTCAGTTGGATGGATATCTCTCTTCTTTTTTCTCAAGGGCACCAGCACTGACACAGTGTGAGCACAACCCATCTGGACACGGGCCCTGGGAGCCCCCATACCTTCCGACACAGGGTGATAGTCCTTTCCAGACGTGGCTGAACCGTCCTTGGTGTGAACCCTCACAACGGAAACCTTTGAAGTGTCTCCTTGGCGAATCACTGGAATTTTTATAACCACCGACTGTCCTGGTTCTTTGGGTTCACTGACGCTAAATTTGGTTTCTCCAAATTTAATAATTGTCTCTAAAACAGTGGGAGACACGGACAAATTAAATTGTAAAGGGAATGCTTTATTTCTCCATTTCTAATGGTTTTTCTCTGTTTCCCATGTAGGAGGAGCTTAATTATATTATTCTCTTGCCTTCCCTCTGTCCCCTCGCTCAGTATCACTGGTGTGTCATGAGAAACTGAGCATGCATGGCCCAGCTCCTTCCTTGGCAATTAACCAGCCCCCAGAAATCACGTGCTGTGGGCTGTCTCTATGTGCCAAAAATTTTACAGGAGTGGGCCACTGACCATGGGAAGGGAAGGAGGAAATTGTTGACCCAGGACAACCTGCACCCAAGGGTATGTGAGGAGTAGGGAGGTCTGAATGCTTGGGATTTAGCATTTAGGTATCAACCATACTCTTCGACATAACTTTCAGTTTAAATGGTTTATTTCGTTCTCCACTTATCTTAGTCTTTTTCCTATTTCTCAATTACTTTAAAAGCCAAGTTAGAAAGAGGGGGTTATTTTCTGAGCCACCTAAAACTTTAATACAGATGGATTTCAGTTCCTAATTTACAGTTGAACACAAGAAACAGCTTCTTACTATCAGCATCATCTCTGATCCTTATCAGAGTTTCATTTTGTTCACCAACCACAGCTCCAAAAGGGGAGTTGCTTTGTGGAGTGCCAAGAACCAGACGGAGCTCCTCTATCTCTTCGTATAGTACGTCATCCATCAGCTCAAGGATACAAGGCTTTTCAGTCTCACCTGGAACAATAATAATGACAGCAGGACAATCACATCCCGCAGGCCATAAGGGAAGCATCTGCAACTGGAAGGTAAGCCCCATGAGGGCAGGGATGTGGCTTTCTTCCCTGCTGTATCAACAGTGCAAGCAACAGTGTCTGGCATGTAATAAGCCTTTGATTAATATTTGCTGAATGAATGATGAGGTTTGAACATATGCAATGACAGGCCCTATTTGTACAGGGAGTTCTTTAATGCCTGTCTTAAGTTCTGTCACTTATGTCTGAAAACAAGGGGAAAAGAGGAAATGCCAATTTTATTTACAAATTTCTAACATTGTGATCAGGAGGCAAATTTAGCAACTTTGCACCCGTTGGTCATTGTGAATTTGACCACAGCACATGTATCTTGTACTGTTGGATCAAAGTGGTCAAATATTTTATGACATTGGATACATATTAAAAATGTGACATCTATTTCCTTTCATTTTTGTCATTTGAACATTAAGTCTTTCCCAGTACTGTGAAATCTACACATTTGATATGCCATTATCTGCTGCATAAAGTTTGAATAAACAGTATAGCACATCACTAGAAACTAATCAATAAGTTGATACGGAGACCAAAAGAACCTTCATTCGCCCTGTTCAAATCTACCTCACTTTGTTACCACTTAGTGCACATTAAACCATGTCATAAGCTTGTTGAAATCAAGAACCTGTATTTCCTTGATAGATATTTCACACCCAAAACTTGGCTTCCGCAAATTCCAAATAAAAATTTCAAGCCAAAACTTACCAGGGAGGAAGGTGATGGTGGAGATATCAGTGTTTGGGCGTTCTTCAAAGTCCATCATCACTTGTGCAGACCCCTGTCGCGTATAGCATCTCACCGAAGACCTGTACTGGATGTCTCCACTCCTGTGGATCATGACAACTATCTGCCCATCATTTTCATTGCCAGTGTATACTCGTTCTTTGAACTGCATCTTGGGCACTGCAAAAAAAATACAAGAGAATAAACACATGAGTCAAAGTGAATAGAAATGTAAGGAAAACGGCATTTCAGAAAACATGGTTTCGTGGGAAGAATAATGGAACAGAAATGAGAAGAACTGGAACCAACTCTCCACTCAGTCACTTGCCAGTGTTTTGGCCTTGAGCAAATCACTTAACTCAGTATTTTGGTTTCCTTATCCTTGTAATTTTGCTCTGCCTATTTTGTGGAGTAGGAAGATGCAATGAAATGTGAAAAAGTAGATAAAACCAGAGATTTTAAGATGTCTGTATCTATACATGTTGCTTTATCATGAGCTTTTCAGAATTTCTTGATATGAATAATATTAAATATTGTGCACATAATCACATGCATAGTTTACCTGGACCGTGTTGGAAAAGTTGACAATGGCTATAATATTATATATATTACATAATAGAAAGTGACACCTATACTAGGTCAATTAACTATAGGTCTCACTGACAATAGGTTAGACTCCTCCAAGCAATGTCAAGATCATCATGTTAGAAGATTATTCAGAATTTTCTTGTGATGACGTGTCAGAGAGCCCTGCCATGTGTCCAGAAGCTTATTGCTTCAGAATAGTGTTTTTCACACATCATTAGGGGAATTTCAGGAGTCTGGGAGTAAGGAGATAACAGAAAGTGTCTTGTGTTGAGAAATCGAAAAAGACCATTAATACTCAAGGGTTTGTGCAACCCCATGTGGTTCCACCCATCTGTGGGAGGGAGTTCTTGACACACAACCAAGATATTGATAACAATCTCATTTTTTTTAAATTTGCGAGGAAGACTGAAAGTTTTCTTCTGAAGCTGTTTAATTCTATCAAAATAATCAGGATGAGAAAGTAAGACTTGGTCAGCTAAGGTATTATTATGGATTCCCAGGTTGAAGTCCTAACACCCAGTACCTCGGAATGTGACCTTATGTGGAGATAGGGTCTTTACAGAACTAATCAAGTAAAGATGAGGTCATTAGGGTGGGCCCTAATTCGATATGACTGGTGTCCTTATATAAAAGGGAAATTTGGACACAGAGACACACATAGAAGCTGATGTAATGACACATAGGGGAAAAGATGGCCACATCTACAAGACAAGAGAGAGGGCTGGAACAGATTCTTCTGTTGCATCCCTTAGACGGAAGTAACCCCTCTGATACCTTGATCTTGGACTCCTAGCCTCCAGAACTGTCAGACAAGAAATTTCTGAGTCTGTAGTATTTTGTTATGGCAGCCCTAGCAAACTAATACAGGTATACAAAGCCTAGTTTATCATTGTACTTAACATTTATATAAACTCTAGCTTATCGTTTTACTTATCATCATAGATGAATAAACACTCACAATCTGAGACAGAATCGTTTATGGCCACCGTGGCTTTGCTGGGATCACCAAGGGCAGCATTCATAGGCATTCGAAGCACAAGTTCAAATTTCTCAATTCCCTCCAGCACCGGTTGTCCAAGATCATCCAGAACGATAACACGAACAGTCTGCATGTTGACTCCAGGTGCAAAATCTAAATTACGACTGATTCCCACATAGTCTGTTCCAGCTATGACAGTAACAGAAGAATTTTTCAGTTGGGGACTAACTAAATTTAAACAAAATAATGAGAAGCAAACTGTGTAGATATATTTATGATCCTTTAAAAAATATATAGACTAGCATACCGTTACAGAAAATACATTTAATGGAATGCAAAAGATTAGTATCTAACCTTTTGGTTCTTGAGATGGTAGGTCAAAGATCAGGTTCTGAACTTTGTCTTATCTATGTCTAACAAGTTATTTTATCTTTAGTTATTTTAGCTTTCTTATAGTTTTTTTCCATCTATTTTGGAATTCTCAAATAGAACTAATAAAAATCAGGTCTAAAAAGATCCAGCATATCAATCAAGTATTTGATTATCATAAATTATATATGAAATATAAATATTGAAATTTTGTTATCATTAGTTAAATATCCAAATCTATTTTCAGAAGCTACTAGAGAACTTTAGATGTGTGACTGCCTGCTGGTTAAAACAACACATTTCAGATACAAGCTTTTGTCTGACATGCTTCACCCACACCTGCCCCAGAGACATATTTGGTTTTTGGCTTATTATTTTTCAGACTGCGGGGCGCATACTAGTGTTGACATCTCCACTTATGTTCTAAAGTAGTTAAAAAAGCAAAACTTTCTCTTAATCTTTAGGCACCACATCCATAAAGACTGGGAATAGGGGAGAGTGTTCAGTATTATTTCTTCCTTGTTTTCATACCTTCTGCTCTTCTAACTCATTTTGTATCTGTTTACCTCTGAGTATGCAACTATCCTTGAGTATGTGTCTTTAATTCATTTTTAAAAGTCTCTGTATCTGAATGTCACTGTGGTTCTTTCCGTGTTTTTCTTTTCCTCTTGTTCTTCACCTTTATTCTCATCTCTTTCTTTGATTTGAATTTTCTCTATAGAAATGACTAATTTGGCTAAACAAATGTTTATTGGACGCCGGCTACATGCAAAACACTATGCTGGTTCTACAACATTTAAAAAGTGAAAACTTAAGGGTGACATAAAATGGGATGAACGATATGGGTGATGAACGTGTGATGTGTGTATGATGTACGTGTGTGGGCGTGTGTAAGAGCTCGTTTGTACTGCTGGTCATTTAGATGGGGCAAAAAAGGAAATTTCTTATCTTATGCTTGTCCTAGCTTTATGATAAACTTTTAGCAGATGTAGATTCCAGAATAAAAGGCAAGCATGTGTCGGCTAGGACAGATTGTATAATGAAGTGTAGGAAAAGTCTTTGGGTCCCAAGTATTTATGGGGACGTTTGTTTAAAACGAGGAAGGAGCCAAGCTAGAGATACGTACCTGCACGATACTTAAATGCCACTAGATTTCTCTGAGGGTGGCCTTCACGATTATTCTAGTTGTGCATGTGATGTCATAATATTCAACGATGGTAGATTTCCCAAGTACAGAGAACCAACTCATGCAAATAAAGGCATTCAAATGTAGAGTCTTTGACTTATATGTTTATAACTCAGCTTTTGATTTGTGGCCCTTTAGATGTATTTTCTCACAATAGTAAACAGAGCCTAGATTTACCGACTATACGGTAATAATTTCAGAAAAAATTACATTCAGCCAGACTGCTTAAACAGAAGTGAAGTATTTGGGCTTTAAGGTATTTCATCATGGCAAGTGGAAAATTGTAGAATACTCAAAAGAGTTGCTGTAGGAAACTGCTCACCATCGGCAGAGGGAGGCTCTGTCTTCTGAGACCTCACGGTGACGCTAGAAGCCTGGGACAGGTCAGTGCCGGCTCTCCACACCCGCACGTCCACAGAGCCTATGCTCTCGTCCACAGGGTACTCGACGCCACCAAAGTAGAGGATGGGTTCTGTTAAGAAGGAAAGAGAAACCATCTCTGTTACGTTTACTTTTCCACATCAAACTGTATGATGAAATTCCAAAGAACAGTTCGCTTCATCTTATCGACTTCCTTATACCATCATTTTTTTTTTCCTTTTAGCAAGATAACATCTCTTTAATCTCTAGACTTACACAGTTTCCAGATCAAAATGCCTCTGTTGAAAAACAAAAATACATATGGTAAAGTGTCTAATGGAACTTTTTTTTATTGCTTATTTTTGTTGTTGTTGTTGTTTTGCTGTGTTTTGTCTTGGCGGCGCCGCACGGCTTGTGGTATCTTAGTTCCCTGAACAGGGACTGAACACCTGCCACGGCAGTGGAAGCACCGAGTGGACCACCAGGGAATTCCCTCTAATGGAGCATCCTTATCTTGAGGCATATGAGTTACTTTGTCCCCTGTATGTGGGGTTATAAATGGCTTCTAAATGGACTTCCTAAAAGTTTAGCTGGTAAAATAGCAGCAAAATGAAACAAAACACATAAAGCTGAAATTTTATGAATTTGGCCCGACGGCTCATTTTCCTGTCTCCTACCGAGTCATCACTCTGGAGACTATTTGCATAATGACATCTTCTAGTCCATCAGTCCACTGTCTTTGGGCCTCTTATAACCCCTAGAGAGTTAGCCCCTATTGGCATAACTAGACTATATACGATTGGCATAACTAGAATATATATGATTATGAGTCCTGAAGACTTTAGGACATGATAGTAGGTTACCTATAGGGTTTTGGGGGTACTCTATAATAACTGAGGTTCCACTAGAGAAATATAATCTCATACCGAGGGGCTTACTTTTTTTTTTTCGGTACGCGGGCCTCTCGCTGTTGGGGCCTCTCCCGCCACGGAGCACAAGCTCCGGACGCGCAGGCTCAGCGGCCATGGCTCACGGGCCCAATCGCTCCGCGGCATGTGGGATCTTCCCGGACCGGGGCA